TCGATTTCCCCTCTGCTGCAGCTCTTGTCGATTTCCCCTCTGCTGCATCTCTCCTCTGACCCTGCTGCCACCCTAGAGCAGGCCCTCATCACCTAATGCCTGTACTATTGCATTAGCTGCCAGGGGTTTGCCTGCCTCATCTCTCCCCCTCCTTCAGTCCATTCTCCATTCAGCCACCAGAGTGTTTCTCCTGAAAGGGGGAGGTGTAATTATGTCACCCTCCTACTTAATAAATTCCAATAGGTTCCCTATTCTTCCAGGATCAAATACAAAAGCCATTCAAAGTTCAGCCCTTTACTCCTTCTTCAGTCTTCTTACACCTTAGTCTCTAACACATACTCTTTCATCCAGTGACGTTGGCCCTGTCTGTTTCACCAAGAAGAGCCTCCATCTCTCAGCTCTGAGCATTTTCTCTGGCCATTCTCCCTTCTCTCTAACTTCTGACCTCCCTGGCTTCCTTTGAATCTGAACTAAAATCCCACCTCCTACAGGAAGCCTTCCTCAGCCCTCTTTATTCTAGTAGCTTCCCTGTTTCTTATTTCTCTTGTCTATAACTTGTATATATTTTTGCTTGTTGTCTCCCCCATTAGACTGTGAGCTCCTGGAGGGCAGGGACTGTCTTTTGTCTTCCTTTGTATTCCAAGTTCTTAGCACAGTATCTGACATGTTGATTATCACTGATTGCTCAAAATGTGGCACCAAGAATTGAACACAATCCTGATGAGCTGACACGTGATAAAAAAGCATTTATGAAGCACCTAATGTATGCAGAACACTGGGGATATAAAGTACATGTGGATTAAGATCATTTCCATGCAAATACAAACATTTCCCAAATGTTGTGCTAGACTGGAATGGTCTCAAAGATGCTATTTAGGACCTAGTCCTCGTCCAGAGACTCCTGGAACCTGGTTGAGGTCTTTAGATGTCTATGGTGAAATCAAAGTGAGGCCTCATTTTCTGCTGGCTGAGACCCCATCTGAGCTCGCATCCTGTCTCTGCTGGAGGTTGTTGGCCCACTGCTCTCTTTGGGGATCTCTTTCAGGAGGAGATAGGTGGATTCTTTCAATTTCTATTTCGCCCTCTGGTTCTAAAATATCAGGGCAGTTTTCCTTGATCATTTCTCGAAAGGTGATGTCTAGGCTCTTTTTTTTGATCATGGCTTTCAGATGGTCCAATAATTTTTAGATTATCTCTCCTGGATCTATTTTCCAGGTCAGTTGTTTTTCCAGTGAGATATTTCACATTGTTTTCTAATTTTTCATGGCCCACTGCTCTTGATCTCAGTTTCCTCAAGTGTGAAATGGGGGGATTGGACTAGACCATCTCTGAGGTCTTCCCTTGCCCTTCAGAGCTGTGAGTTCCAAGTGAGTCATGTCAAAAGAATGAGTCCATTAGGCTTTTCCCTTGCATTTTCTCAAAGGAACCCACACCAAAAGAGAAAGGACCTGGGGCCCGACATGGCCTGCCCATGCTCAGATCCACGCTCAGGGCCCAGCTCCCCCCACGTTCCTCCTCGGAGTTTGGGGAGTTGGACATTCCTTTCTCTTTGCTTAAAGATTGGGCAGAAGATGAGGGGGCCACATACTGGGGTTCCCGGTGTTGTAAGTGACCTAGTCCTCCTCATCTTTGGCCTTGGGGAGGTGGCTGGCTAGCAGAGTGTTCCAGTGCTTTGAAGGGCTCCCCTGGATTAACTGGATTGTGTTTTTCTTACAGGAAGATCCTCTATCCTCGTATCCTTCCTGCTCGCTCCCTTTTCCGGCTCTGACCAGGCAGGCGTGGCCCCTGTCGGACCCATGATGTCTGAGAGCTCGTGGAGCTTCTGAAGTGGGGCAGTGGTTGGCAAGCAGGGCTTAGATTGCCTGTCCCCCTCTTCTCCCCAGTGCCTGCCCAGGGTGACTCAGAAGAGTGAAGTCAGATGTGTTTCTCTGTTATCTCTGTGGCCACTCTTAGACCCACAGGCCTGATAGCCAGGGTGTAGCCACTGTGCCGCAGTCTCTCATCTGCAGATGGGTAGATAACAATACCTGTCACTCCCAGCTTTTGCGGGGATGTTGGTAGAATGAATGGAAGCGTAGAGGTGCTCCGGAGTCAGGTACCCCTCAGTCTGTCAAGCCCCTGGGGCCCGTATGCGGTGGGAGGCAGAGCTCTCTCAGGCGGGTTCTTGGTGGCCTTTGAGATGCTGGGGAAGGCCAGATAGAAAGATGTTTTATTTACACTGTCTCATCTGCTTCCTGAAACATTAATGGCAAGGAGTGGGCTTTCTCCTTCATGTGCTTCCGCGAGGGGAAAGCAGGGCGGGTGCACCTGACCTGGGCGCTTGCTTACCTGAGCAGGCCAGGAGGGAGAGCTCCCAGGGAAGGAATAGGAGCGGGCCATACAGCAGGCCTTTGTGGCAGGACCGCTCGGCTGACACGCTTTCTAGGGTCCTGCTCGTGTCCGTCGCTCCCCGGCGGCTCTGCGGTCCGAAAGGAAGAGTGAGCAGGCCGGGCCGTGTGACCCCCGGGGGGCGTGGGCTGGGCGGCATCGGTTCCACCCGGATGGGCTCCTTAACGACGGGCCAGCTCTCCTCGGTGCCGCTACAGATGCAGTTTTACTTCAGCGGGTTATATTACCCCTTCTATTTCCTGGTCTCGCTGCTAGTGATTTTTTACAAAAGTGAGTTGTTGGGGCCCCGCAGAGCGTGGGTGGGCGTCGAGCCAGTCACCGCCGCTGACTTGTCTGCCCAATGTCATTGCAGCGCACCTTTTCTCTTACCCACCCGATCTGTGGACCACTGATCTGATTCTCCTCGGGAGCATGGGCTTTCTGGAGGCCCTGCGGCTCTACCTGGGTGAGTTGGCTGGCGTGTCCGGAGCCGCGAGGGGAGCGGGCGGGGTCCAGTGCAGAGGGCTGCCCCGGACACTTGGCGCATTTGTCCTGTCTAACAGATAGCTTTTCAAGCTTCACTTTACACTCTTATTAAATATTAATTAGTTTATTCAAAGGCCTAACCTGAAAGACAAGTCCTATTGGCCTTCTCTTAGGAGACCACAGGGTGACTGCTCTCAGCGGTCCCCTCAGATGCACGGAGCCGCGTGGATGGCCCCCTCTCTCCTTCGTTCCTTTGCTCATGCTGCTCACCACCTTCCCCATACCCTGACTACCCAAGCCTGGAAGGGAGAGCAGACAGGCCAGGCCTTGAGCTGTTACCCGCAGGCTGAACAGGCCCTGCTGGGGATGAGGCCCTGCTGGGGATGTGTGCCCCTCCACATACACATGCACACACACGCACGCACACACACGCACGCACGCACGGACGGTCATTGGAAAGCAGCAGGGGCTCTCAGAGGCTTCCTCTGGGTGAGGAGGAGGCCTCCCAAGTGGGAGAGGAGGAGGCCTCCCAAGTGGGACTTGGCAGGGACCCCGGGTCCCTCCCTCACAGAGCCTGTGTGCCCCCCAGGTGCAAAGGGCAACTTGACAGAAGAGGAAGCATTGCTGGGCAGCAGCCTCCTGGTGACCGTCATCAACGCCATCCTGGCGCTGTACTTCCTCCTGTGGGCGGCCTACGTGCTGAGGATAGAGATGCTCCTCAACACCGTTCTGCTCGCTCTCTACGGCCTCCAGGGCATCCTGCAGGTGGTCACCATCGCCACTTTTGTCAGCTAGCCTCCCCAGCCCGTTTACACCTAAAGCGTGGCTCTCATATCTTGATGGAGCCCGGGAATCTGGGCTCCTGGGTTGGGTGTGTTTGCTGCGGTCTCCTTGAAGGCCCCCCCCTCCCCATCCCCGCCAGCTGCCTGCTGGCGTGGGGGGCCGGCGGGCACTGGCGCCTCAGATCTCCCTATCCATGTTTTGCCCCCCAGGTGCCACACCTGACAGTCACACCTCTTGAGCCTCAGTTTCTTCAGATGTAGCATGGGGTAATCGTCCCGTTAGTGGCCGCTCATAGGTGGTTGTGGCCGTAGATGGCGGCCGTGTTTCAGAAGCCCACTGGGCGGCCGGCTGGGTTCTGGTACAACTCTCCCCTTCCCTGGGGAGGCCGCTCCCAGCTGGAACCCAGAGACCCCAGTCCTAAGCTGATTTTACAGAAGAGGGAACTGAGGTTTAAAGATCATCGCTTGCCCAAGGCCACACTGCTGGGATTTGGAGCTGGGTGGGCTCCTGGCTTTGTGGAAGGCTTGGGGTGCCAGGACCAGGGCTAGGTACATGGAGCCCCCAAATAGCCAGTTAGAACTGCTACCGAGAGAGAGGAGGGACCAGCCAGGCCAGTGGAAGTGTGCGGAAAAGGAGAGAGAGATGGTGGCAGTCCCGTTCACAAATAGGGGAGTGGCACGGCTGACTGAGCAGGGCCTCCTGAGGGCTGGCTGTGCACACGGAGCTGCCCACCCTGGGGTGCCCTGGGCCTGGAGCACGGCAGAGGAGATGGAGCTGAGAAAGCGTGTCCACTGTGCTCGGGACCCTTTGCCCTTCTCTGGGGGCCTTTCTCCACATCAGGCACCTGGTTTTTGTGAATGTTGTATGTTTTAGGGAGTTCCCTACTTTTTGATGTTTTCAAATAAAATCTTTGTATCCAGTCCGGTGGTCCAGATGCCCCCAGATAAGGCCAGCCGCCTTCCCTGGGGGAGCTTCCTGGGCCCAGCCCCTCCCGCTGCCCTGAGGCCAGGGCCAGCTCCTGGGTTGCTCTGGTGTGGCAGCAGTGAGTCCAGGCTGCCCAGGCCCGTAGCCTCTGGCCCTTTGGCACAGAGCACAGAATTTGGTGCCAGCTCCCCTGGCCACACGTGCAGATCAGAAAGGCAGAGGGAATGTCTCCCCGTTTGCCCATATTGACACCACTTGGGTAGCTGTGTTTTCCATGTGGGCCACTTCCCGTGTCCCATCAATGACAAGAACACGTGGTCTGAAATGCCACCCTCTCAGGCCCATTCAGTGTCTCCTCCCGTTGCTCAGAGGCACCGGGGGGGGGAGCATGTGGAGGCCACAGCCACGCCCCAGCAAGCGCGTAAGCGGGCACAGCAGGCCCTCGGATGACTGAAAAGTGATGGGGGGACCCGTGTGGTGTTGGACAAGAGGCGTCGGTCCGACATCCCACTTTGTGTTCCAAGTGCCGTTGCACAGAGAAGGAGAACTTTCAGACTGGGAGTCAGGCTAGCTCATGGCAGCCTCTTCTCTAGGGCTGTCTGGTCTGGCAGGGGGCAAGGCCTCAGTCCTTTCAGAGAAGCCCCAGCAGGATGGGTCCGCTCGCTCTCCTAAAGGGCCATGTGAATCCCAGTTCACTTCTAGGGTTGGTCTGAGAGGCTGACCAGAGAGGACTCAGTTTGCCCTGGGCTCTGAGGCTTTGTCTTCCTGACCCTCAGGCTGCCTGGTGGACTTGCCGTGTTAGACCCCTTCCCCTCCCTCCGTCTCCAGACCCTCAAATCCCCAGTCACTATGTAGCCACCCTGAGGTCATGGTCTGCCAGCCAGCCGTCCTCATCATCTGCCAGGCGCTGAGGCAGGGCAGACTTGTAGATAGTCTCCTGTCTTTCAGGGGCTCGTCTTCTCGTGCCCCCGCCCCCAAAAAGGATGCCTTTGAGAACAGAGAAAGTGTCAGCCTTGATACTTCTTTTTCTGCTCAGGAAGAGTAAGAGCAGAAAACGTCCTTCGCTGAGGACAAGCGCCCCTTTACCCTTTCAGGAGGAGTCTCCCGAGAGGAAGCGGGCCACCTTGCACCCCCACTGCTGAGGGGGCCTAGCCTCTAGCTGCCCACCAGGCAGAAGTCACTAGGGAAGAAAGATCAAGGGTCCAGGTCCACCAGGTTAAGCCTTTCTCTAGTTTAGGTAGACAGACTGCTTCATCTTCCGCGTTTGGGAGAAGAGCAGAGAGCCCAAGACTGAGTGTTGGAGTCCAGCCAAGGAGGCAAGAGTGGCTGGACAGGTAGGAGGAGAACCTGGGGACAGCAATATCCCAAAAACCTAGGGAGAAGAGAGCGTCAGGGAAAAGCCAGAGACTACAGAGGGGTCCAAAGAGATGAGATCAAGAAAAGCACTGGATTTGGCAACGAAGAGATGATTGGTAACCTTGGGGAAAGAGAAGTCAGTGGAATGAGATCAGAAGCCAAAGAGAGTGAGAGGAGAGGAAGTGAAAGCACCAAGTATAGATGGCCTACTCCACGAGGTTAGCCATAGAGGCAGAAGGGCCCAATGAAGGTTCTTTCAGGATGGGGGAGACGGGTGTGCTTGTAGGCAGGAGGGAAGCAGCCAGTAGAGGAGAGGTAAAAGGTAAATGACCCAGAGAGGTGGTGATCTGTTGGAGGAGGTGGGCTGGAGCAGGCAAAGGGGTCACCCTTGGTCATCATGGGAGAAGGTGTGAAGGAGAAGAGAGTGGCCAGAGGCTCCTGAGTCAGGGGAAATCTCGGTTGACCACATTGTGTTTAGTGAAGTAGGGGGCACGGATCTCTGCTGAGAGGGTGGGAGGAGGAGGAGCCACAGGAAGCTTGAGAAGGTTTAGAATTGCCACTGTGGAGGGTGGGAGAGTGTGTCGGTTAGGGAGGTGTAGAAGATTGCCTGGCAGCAGTGAGGGCCCAGTTGAGATCATCTTCCCCTTTCTACTGTGACCTCCTTGAAGGTAGGGACTTGTGTCTCTTTTTGTACCCTAGCATCAGGTTAGGGGATGTGAGGCCGAGGGAGAGGTGGGATGGCCACAGATACGGTCAGATAAGGGAATGTCAGAGTTGGAGATCTGTGTGGAACTGGGGCAGGTGGAGGAGAAGGTTGGGGAGAGCGACAGACATTCTAGAGCTCCTAGGGGGAGCTGCAGACCTTTCTAGAGCGACTGGGGGGAGCTGCAGACCTGGAGCCCCTGGGGGTGCAGTTACAGAGCTTCTGGAGCCCCTAACAAGGGAACGAGGGGGAAGATTCACAACTACCCTATTACCCCACTCCCTCCCCTGTTAGGAAGTGGAATCAGCCACAAGTCGCTCCATCGATCAACATTTATTAAGTGACTGCTGGGTGCCAGTCACTTGTGCCTCCCCGGCACCCCTCTGCCCAGGCGGATGGGCACCTGGGTAGTAAGGCAGAGCTCTGCCCCAGCAGGCTGCAGAAGGGGCCTGGGGCTGCCTCTCTCCCCCTCCTCCGCCTCTCCCCTCTTCCCACCGGGGCTTCCTTTTTCCTCCTTGTCCTTCCTTCTCTCCCGGTGGCAGCTGGCTCCCCCTCCCCGCTCCCTCCCCAGCTGGCTGGGCCAGGCTTTCCGGTTACACAGTAACCTGTTGCTCAGGTTCTCATCCCACCTCAACGTGCCCCGCCCCTCCCTCCCTCCCTCCCCGCTCCTTGGACCAGACGAGTGAGCGTAGCGCTCTGCCCGGTGCCTGCCTGCTGGGCCCCCTCCAGTCCAAGTGCCCCATTGTACATCCCCCAGCGGGGAAGAGCGCTGCCGGAGGGAGAGACACCCAGGACAGGAGCCGAGAGGACAGGGAATGCGGAGGCAGTGACCGGCAGAGCCGGCAGGCTCCCAGGTCAGGCTGGGGGCCAGGCTGGGGGCGGTGCGGGGGCTGAAGGAGGTGGGGGAGGGCCTACGTGGAGACCCCAGCTCCCTCTCCTACGCCCCACTATGGCACCCGGCCATCGTCCACTATCTCTTGAGGGTCATCCAGGTTGGGCACTCACCTCTGTCCCAAGTGGGGGACCCGAGCTGAGCCGCGGGGCCCTAGGTCCACCCCGAAGGACCTGGCCAAGGGCTGCCTTTGCTAAAGGTCAAAAGCAGCTCGGATTGGTCGGGCTGCCAGGAGGGGCCTGCTTTGGAGCCAGCACCCCGGGGGCTGGGGCCACTGTGAGCCAGAGGGTGTCCAAGAACCTTTCTGAGGCCTAAGATGTCTCCCCTGCTCTGTGACTCAGTTTCCCCACATGGGGCCCAGCACTGAGGAGCTGACGCGTCGCTGGGGACCAAGCAGGCGGCTGAGGGGGGAGGTCTGGGCCTGTGTGGAGGGACCGCTGTGCCCCCAGGCTGGGGCGCTGATGGGAGCTCGCCTCTCTTTCCATCTTGGGCACCGTACTGGGTCTTGCTTCTCCCAAGGCTGTCCCATGCACGTCAGGCCCAGCTGGGTGGGACTATAGTGGGGGTTCTTGGACGCTTGGGTTATTTTTAAGTTGGCCCCCTGACCCCCACCCGGCCCTGGGGCTCTGGGCCTGGAGGGGAACCCAAATATTCCCCTGCGTCACAAAGGCAGGAGGGGGCGGGGCAAGGCAGGTTGGGGGGCAGGATGGGGAACCTCATCCTTTGTGTAAAAAAGGCGTCCTGACTCCCCTGGTGTCAGCATGCCCGCCCCTCAGGGCTGCTGGGAGTAGAGACTGCCCTGCGCACCCCTTGCCCCCCCCCCAAGCCTCACCCAAGCCGGGGAGCTGCCCTTTGACCCGCTAGCCGTGAGAGCAGTGACTAATTTGTTAGATTCCACACCCCAGACCCCAGGAGGGCCTCTGCCCAGGCCAGGGGGGCGGGGGCACAACTCACAGTCAGGGTTCAAGCTCAGGTGGCCCAGCTTGCCGGAAGAGGGAGCCTCTTCCGGGTGTGGGACTCCAAGCCCCTAGGGCAGCCTACACTCAGGGTCCGATCCCTTGACCCCCTCACCTGCGATGGGGCTAAGCTTCCCCATCAATGTCAGACATCGGGAGAAGGAGTTACAAAGGGGAACCGGGGCGCGAAGCCGACTGCTTGTTGTGCAGTCGTTTCAGGCCGTCCTACTCTTCCCCCCGTTTGGGGTTTTCTTGGCAGAGACACTGGAGTGATTGGCCATTGCCTTCTCCAGTTCATTTTACAGTTGAGGAAACTGAGGCCAGCAGGGTGGCGTGACTTGCCCGGGGTCACCCAGCTGGGAAGTGTCTGAGGCTGGATTCTAACTCAGGGAGGGGAGGTGCCCCTATTCCACAGAGAGGCCTGCCCCTCCACAAGCAGCCCCCAGGTGAAAGGCAGGGTCTGTGAAGACCAGGGGCAGGCAGTCAGAGGCAGGGCAGCAGAGCCCAGGGCGCTGAGGGCTAAAGGAGTCCATTCTAGCCTTTTCTCTGCATTCTGGCCCTTCGAGGCAGCCCAAGGGGAGAACAGGCCCAGACGGGCCCCCAAAGCTGGTCAGCCCTCTGCCGGCTCCCTCCTCCCAGAGAAGACTTGCTCTTGGCCCAGGCCTGCCTCCTGTCCCTCTTTCAGAGGCCCCAGACTAGACCTGCAGCCCTGCTCACTGAGCCAGCCCGCCTCCTCTGCCCCAGCCCTCCCCCAAGGTCATCAGGCATCTGCAGCTGAGCTGGAGTTTGAACTTGGAGCTGGTGGTTGGCATTCCTGCGACCTGTTTTGCTGCCTCTCCCTGCCCAGGGGCCCTTCCTGCCCCAGGTGGGGCGGGTTCTGGGTGCTGCCCTCTCCCCTCCCTCCCTGAGGTTCGTCAGTCAGAACTGGGGCTTCCCCCTCAGCCCTGCCCTGGGTTGCCCTCCGTGGGCCCTGAGGCACCCCCCTGTCCTCCTTCCTCCAGGACTGCAGTGAGCCGAAGGGCAAGTGCACTTCCCCCTTCTGACCCTGAGCAGCCCAAGGCCTCAAAAAGCCCTCTTTCTTAGTGCCCCCCCCATGCAACCAGAAATGGGGAGCTTGGCATGGCAGGGTGAAGGGAGTTACCTCATTTCCTCCCCAGCCACCCTCACCTCCCAGAATTCCTTTCTGAGATGGGGAAACTGAGGCCCAGAGAGCATGGACACTCAAAGGAGGGACCCAGCCCTCAGCTCTTTGGTGGGGGAGCCTTGTGTGGGGAGGGGAGACAGGGCTTCTAATCTCCAGTCCCCTCCCATATCTTTCAAAGGTGGCCATTCTAAGGTGTGGACAGCTGGTTGTGACTGGCCTGATGCCAGGAGCTTAGGCCTGGCACTACCCCTCAAAACTCTCTACTGGCAGTCCCAGGGCCCGGACAGGGAAGGGGGAAGCTGGCTAGCTTCTTGGGGTGAGAATGGGCCCATCCCTCCCCAGGCCCTCTCTGCCCCTTTCCTCTGCCTCCTTCCTCTTCGGTCAGGCTCCTAGAATTTCCAAGTTCTAGGTTCCCGTCTGGCTCTGCCTCTTCCTTGAAACTCTGTGGCCTTAGACAAGACCCTGAAAGCCTGCAGACCCCCATAAGGCAGGGGCTGGACTCACCCCTGTGGTGATGCCCTCCGACCCATTTTTCTATGAGTGATAGGGGCCCAGGAGCTGGGAACCCCCACCGGGAAGGGGAAGTCCTGGGGCTAGGAGCGCCTTCCCCGAGGGCCAGGGCAGGTCTGGGAGAGGTGGTCTGGGACTTCTAGAGGAGAGTGAGGACCACAGGGTTTGGTGGGGAAGGTGCTCCCCTGCCACACTGCCTCAGTTTCCTCATCTGTAAAATGAGAGTGTTTGATTCAGGCAGGGTTGCACCCTGCCCCAAATGTGTGCCGCTCTGACCCTTAGGGCCCGAGGCAGAATTTGGGGAGGCCCTGACTTGGGTCTCTGGCTCCTTCTAGGACGCAGCACGGGGCTGCTAGCTGCAAGGACATGCTAGGCTCAGACCCAAGTGTTTCTGGCCTCTTCCCTGGGAGAATGTCTGGAATGTGTGTGAGAAACACAAGCCTGGGTGAGCCCAGAATGTTTGTTTTATGGGATTCCTGGCCAACGGGTGCGTGCGTGCCACATATGTGTGGGCAGAGGCACACGAGTCCGTGCATGTGCGTGTGCATGTGCATGGATGAGCACAGCAACGCCCCCCACACACATGTCAGTGTGCCCAGGAAGCCAGCCTCTGCAGGCGGGTTCTCACGCCCTGGCTTGGGGCAGTTGGTCTGTCAGACCTGGACTGCCTGGGCATGGGCCCTGCCATTTCGAGGGGCCCCTGGCCCCAATGCCTAAGAAGATGCCTTTGTGCCAGAGGCCCTCCCCAGTCTGTCCTTTAATCCCCTGCCTTAGCACAGTGCGTGGCAAACAGCAGGCACTTAATAAATGCTTGGTGACTTGCACGGTCACATTCTTCTTGACCTCACTGGTGAGCAGCAGTCACTCAGCTGGGGAAGATTTCAATCTGAGAACGCCAGTAAAGGCAGGGTGAGAGCAGGGGCACGCTGCTAATCATTTAACAACCGGCTCTCCAGGAAACAATGCACCCCTGACACACTTTTGAAACATTTAATTGGCATCATTGATGCCTTCTTCAGGCTGGAGTTGGTAAAACAACCAAGCCCTGATTCGTACCCCACTCGTGAGGTGAATGTTCACCCTGAACATTTAACTATCAGCTCTCGGTACTAACAGGGTGATAGCCTTCCTCCCAGGGCACGATGATCAACAGGGTCACTGTGCCTGAGCGCCAGGGCCACCCTCCCAGCCCCTCTCTGCTCCTCATGGTTCCCCTGTTCTCTCTTGTAGCCGGACAGCTCCTGATAGACCATGAACCAGTTGGGATCTCTGAGCAGTGGCACCAGATCGCCCAAGTGAGCCGGGGCCCCCGGCGGGCAGGCAGTGGGCACTCCTGGGGGAGGGGCCTGCCTACCAGGATCCACATCTCTCCCCTACCCCACCCCCCCCGGCAGGGGAGGGGGCAGGGGCAGGAGCAGGTCCCACCTCTGGATCTCCTCTGGATTGGTCCCTTGGGCAGAGCCTCCTGGGTGGGAGACGGAGGAGGGCAGAGGGCAGGAGCACAAGCCACAGAAGGCTCTTGCTCCGTGGCCCACGCCTGCATCTCTTCCTCCCCGTAGCGGCAGCATGGGGCGCTCGGATGGGATGGCCAGGATGAGCGCTAAGGACCTGTATGGTGAGTGCCCTTCTGGACCAGCCTGGGCTGAGAGCAGGGGATCGCCCTGGCAGGGGCCCCCCACTTGGCGGGCCCGCAGATGAGAAAACTCAGGAAGGGGCCCCTGGGAGGGGGTTCATTTGAGCTGTCCTGGGGTGGCAGGGGCCGCCTCAGGAGGAGGTAGTGACTTCTGGCTGAGTCAGGGTGGCTGAGCTTTTGTGAGGGATGTGTTTGAGGGCATCTGGTCCCTTCCATTTAGAGTCTTTGATTGGGAGACGGTGCAGGGCAAGGAAAAGTGGGCCAGACTCAAAGTCCAAGGTCCTGAGTTTGAATGTTAGCTCTGGCACGGGCTACCTGCGTGACCTTAGACAAGACACCATTTGTCTCGGCTTTAGCTTCCTGCTGTACAGAATGAGGGATTGGACCCATTGGAGAAAAAGGGAGGGAGGGAATAATCATTTATAGAGCACCTACTGTGTGCCGGGCAGGCACTGGGCTCGTGGCTGGAGATACAATGGAAGGCTCCGGAGGACTCCCAGTCTGACAAAGTGGGAAGGAGCTGCTAATGGATGGGGCAAGTGAGGAGGATGGGGAGAGGCCGCCTGTAGAAGGGGGGGGCCTTCGCTGGGACCTGAAGAAAGCCCAGGATGTCAGTGCAGCCCCTGGGCTCCCTGCAGGGGCTGGGCCTGCTCTCCATGGGGGCTGCCCTGGCCCTCCACTTTTGGGGGGCTGGGCCTGCTCTCCATGGGGGCTCACTGGCCGTCCACTTTTGGGGGGCTGGGCCTGCTCTCCGCTAGGGGCTCCCAGACTGACCATCCCTGTGTGTCCTCAGCCATGTAAAGGGAGCTGCCTTTACTTATTCATGGGACGGTAACTTTTACTCCCCCGGGGCCACTCCCTCTTCCAGAATCAGGTGCAACCAGATCCCCAAGGGCTTCGGTTCTGTTCGTGTCTGTCTGCAAAGGCCTCCTGGGGGGCAGGGAAGAGAGGTCTGGTCCCGCCTTCTCTCCAAGTCGAGAGCCATCTATGGGATTCAGGGGCTGGAAAAAGTGGGTGCCTCCCTGAGGGGGGACAGGCCTGTGCTTTGAGACAGTAGGCCACCTGCCCTTCTGAAGGGACCCACGGTCTCATTCTGGTGCATTGGCAGAGGCACTGAAGGGCAGGCTCAGAACCTGGGGGGGAGTGGCTGGCGCAGCCTCAAGGTTCTTGGCCAAGAAAGGGGGGAGGGGGAAGCTGGAGCTCCTTTGGGCTCTGAATATAATCATGGTACAGATGCAAATAATATGAAAAGAGTCCACCTGGGCTTCCCAAGGGAGGGAGCTGGCATGGGTCCTCCCCAGGCTCTTCAGACCCCTCCTCCCAATTGCATCTAGAAGAGGGGCCCCTGCTTGTCCTCCCCCTCCAAGGCTTGCACTGACCACCTGGCTCCTGACTCAGACCTGCAGCTCCTGGGGGGGGAGGGCAGGCTCTGTGCCTGGAGCTCCCCTGCCCCCATTCCCCGAGGGGCCCTCAGCGCCCTCCACTGGGGCCGGTCACCCATCCAGGCACCTCACATTCCTTGCTGCCACAAAGTCCTTCCTGGTGTGTAACTCCAACCGCTCCCTCCGCAGGCAGGGTGATAATGCCACTTGACTCAGCTCTGACCCTGCATTCCAGGGCTGACTAGGCTTCTCCCTCCAGCCCCCACAGGCAAAGGGCAGAGGCTCTGACCTGGTCCCACACCCTGGCCTTGGGAACTGTGGGAGGCCTTGGCCCTGAGTGGGCGTGGGCGGGAGGTGCTCCTTGCCCCTTCCCCTTCAGCCACCCCAGTCCCAGGCCAGAGGAGGAAAGGTCAGTCCGCCCCTGTCTCGTCCTTGTGTTTCAGAGCAAAGGAAGAAATATTCAAACTCCAATGTCATCATGCATGAGACGTCCCAGTATCACGTCCAGGTGAGGGGGCGCTTCCAACCCTGTGGCCAAAGCTGTCAGGCAGTGACTCCCGAGTCTGCATAGACCCTGAGGACCACCCCCCCCCCAAGAACTTCCCCTCTGCCCCCCCTAACCCCAGCACAGAGGAATCTCTCATTTTAGGAAAGAGGAAAACAAGGCACAGAGAAAAGGACTTGGGCCCTTGGCCCAAGGTCCCTGAGGGAATAAAGTCCAGATCTCCTGATTCCCAAGACCAGGGCACTGGGAGCCATTCCTCTGACTGGCTAGAAGCCTGGGAATTGGGAACTCTCATCAGTTTGTCCCCTAGCGTCCTGGGGAGGAGCGTGGTGGACAGATCTTTGGTGCCAGGCTCCGGGCTGGGTGCCCGGCTCCGCCCGGCCCCTCATCTCCAGGCTTGGGGGCGCTCACTAGGGGAGTGGGGGTGCTCACTAGGGGAGTGGGGGTGCAGGCAGCTGGGAGGCATGAATCACAAAAGAGCAGTGACCAAGCCCCAGGCCCCAGGCTGAGGCTCAGGCCAGTTAGGAGAGACCCTGAAGTCAGGAAACCACTGAAGGTGGAGGCCCCTTGCCAGCCTCATGACCAAGTTCAGGAGCCAGGGGCAGAGAGTCCAGTGACCCAACCAGGTGTTCAGGGCGGGCAGTTAACCAGTAACTCGGGAGACGGCTTTCAAGCTCGAGGCCAGCCATCTGGGAGCTTAGGTCCTGAGCAGAGCCAACTTCCTGGTTGGGAGCTCAGCTCCCCTCTGCACTTGTGGGGTGTCCTCTGTGCTGCACGCACGCTGCCACCTTCCTCCACAGGTCTACCTGTGCTTTGGGGCAGTGGGAGGGCATGAGGAACAGCCCAGGCCTGGAGGCCCCTCTGGAGGCCTGGTTGGGCCCTTTGGGAGCCAGGGAGAGAGTAGGCCAATGCGGCTGGAAGGGGCCGGAGACCAAAGCTGCTGGTCAGTGGGGACCCTCCCCTGGTGGCCTCTTTCCACCTCTGGCAAGTGAAGGGGCTGGTCGGGGTCACTCCTGGGGGCTTCCCTGCTCATACTCTGGGATCCTCTAGCTCTGGGCTGGGTGGGCAGCAAGGACACAGTGGTGGGGGGACAAGACGGACAAGTAAGTCCCCCTGCATGGACTTCCTGTCAGCCTGTCAGCCAGCCCCCTTGAGATGGAGCTGGGACTGTGGAGGACCCTGGACTTTGGTGTCAGTGAGTGCCTATGGGTGTAAAGGTTTTCCATCGCTTGCAGCCAGAATGAAGAAGGGAAGGGAGGAAAGAGGTCCAGGCTGCAGGCTCCTGGTGCCCAGTGGCTCCCCTCTGCTGCATAGGGTGCTGTGGGATTACACACATTCCCAGAGCCTGGGCACCACCCCATGCAGCTGGAGCTGAAACCTGTAGGCAGCCCAGGTCGTCTGAGGCAGAGAGACCACGGATGGGGGCTAGCCCCAGGACACTGGGGAGGGGGCACCTGCTGCTTTTAGACCTCCTCTTTCCTCTGTCTCTTGCTGTGGCCGCTCTCACCTCCCCAGCTGGTCCAGACAGGCTGGGGAGGGAGCTGTGTTTCACCCAGATCAGCCTCCTTGCCTTCTGCCCCCACCCCAGCCCAGAGCTCCTCTCCCCTCCCAGATGAGCAGAGTCACCTCAGAATTGGGGTTCCATTGCTCCTCCTTTGTTCCTGAGCCCCTCAGAGGGGCATCCCCTGCAGATCTCCTGTTGATGTTGCCAAGGGAGGGCCTGGGGCCTCCTGACTAACGCCCCTCCCCCCCTGCCCTCAGCATTTGGCCACATTCATGATGGACAAGAGTGAGGCCATCGTCACCGTGGAAGACGCCATCCGCAAGCTGATCCAGCTGAGCTCCAAGGACAAGATTTGGACCCAAGAGATGCTGCTACAAGTTAATGACTCCTCCCTGAAACTGCTGGACTGTGAGTCCCAGGTAAGGCCTGAGGTCCTGAGGGGCATGTGGGGAAGGAACCTAGAAAGGGCTATGGGAGGGGGACACAGGGGCTCTGGGAAGGGGGCTCAGCTCAGGGACTTGGGAGGGGGGCACGAGGTGGGGCTGCAGGGCTGCTGAGAGGGGGGCTCAGCTCAGGGCCATAGGAGGTGGGGCACAGGGCTACTGGGAGGGGGTGTTCAGCTCAGGGCCACAGGAGGGGGCACAGGACTGCTGGGAGGGGGGTCTCAGCTCAGGGCCACAGGAGGTGGGGCACAGGGCCACAAGAGGGGGGACTACAGGACTGCTGAGAGGGGAGCACAGAGCTGTTGGGAGGGGGTGCTCAGCTCAGGGCCACGGGAAGGGGGGCACAGGGCCTCTGGACCTTGAGGCCCAGGTGCAGCCACATGGGGAGACCAAGCAAGGATTTTGGACTGAGCCAAACAGGGCCTGGGATTTATGCCAGGTCTACAGAGACCTGTTACCCTTGTAGTGGGCCCATGTGGGAAGGACTTTGCATCTCATTTGCATACTGCTCACCTGGGGCCAGTGGGCTCCTGGGATGAATGGAGGGATCTGCCCAGTCCTCCTTTAGGGGAGGGAGGGTCTGGGCCTGAGGGAGGTGAGGGAGGTGAGCCCTGGTACGGAGGGGCTGGGGCTGGGCTCTGGGGGCGGGGCCTAAAGGAAGGTAAGGGAGGCCTGGGGCAGGCCAGGGCTGGTCCTGAAGCGGGGCCCTGTCTCCCCTCTCTCGCCCCCTCCCCGCCAGGAGGAGCTGGAGCATTTTCCCCTGGGTACGGTGCAGCACTGTCAGACGGTGCTGAACCAGCTTCGCTACCCCTCAGTGCTGCTACTGGTGTGTCAGGATTCCGAGCAGCACAAGCCCGACGTGCATTTCTTTTACTGCGATGAGGTGGAGGTGAGCCCCCCCAACAAAGCCCTGCGTCTGGTCCCCGTTGCCCAGCCCTCACGCAGGCCACACTGCACCCAGCTGGGGGGGGGCGGAGTGGGAGCACACACACCTCCACCACACCCGCCATTCAATCCGCAGTGACTCACCCAGCATTGACTCTGCCAAGCACTGTGCTAGGCACCAGAATACAAGCACAAAGCAAAAACCCTAAGGCGCAAACAAGCGACTAGGACTTCTAGTCAGTGGATAGAGTGCTGGGCCCCGAGTCAGAAAGACCGAGTTCAAATCCAGCCTTAGACGCCTCCTAGCTGTGTGACCCTGGGCAAGGCACTTCACCTCTGCCTGCCTCAGTTTCCTCATCTGGAGCGGTTGTGAGGACCAAATGAGATCACATTTGTAAAGCACTGTAAGGTGCTGGGTAGGTGTTGGCCAAGATGGCGGCGAAGTGGAGGTAATCCCAGAAGCAAAGCCATCCAGGGGAGGAGGGAGCGCTTTATCTGAGGCTGGGGGAGGGCAGCCAGGAGGCCAACGCTCGTGGGGGGAGGGGGCCAGGGAAGGAAGGGCTCTGCAAGCCCAGCTGGAGCCGCTGGACTGAGTAGGGAGGTGGCGTGTTGGGACCTTGGCGGCTGGATGACGTGGGGAGTGGGCAGAGCAGATGAAGGTGCCCCGGGTCTGCAGTAGGGTGGAGGCGCAGGGAGTGGGGAGGTTACTTGTTAAGGTGCCAGGTGATTGTGGGTGAGGACAGGGGGTCACTCTGGGATGCCCTGGATGGGAAAGGGGGAATGAGCTCTCTTCTAAGCCTGTGAGGTTGAGATGTCCGTGGGACGGCTGGTTGGAGAGGTCTGGTGATGCTGGGCTGGGGCTGAATATGGGAAGTCTCAGATCGTAGATTTTGAGCTGGACGATGAGTCCAAACGTCTTGTCTTACAAATGAGGAAACTGAGGCACGGAGAAGTTTCGTGACTTGCCCACGATCACACCGATGGTCGTTCAGAGTCAGAATTTGTACTCTAGGCTTCCTGGCTCCAAATCCAAACTCCACTCTACCATGCTGTGTGTCTGCCTAGAGAAGAGGGTTGGAGGTCATTAAGTGAGAGAAGAGAGCGGGCATGACCTGGACGGAGGTCCTTCTGATAGACAGGAAGACCTGGAGAGGAGACACCTACCCCCAATCCAGAGTCCACACAAAGGGGCACAGGGGCACCTCTCCTGGGTGTCCACATGGACACGATTCTGCTTCATGTGGAACCCTGACCCCTCCACACATGCCCCCGGCTTAGACCCAGGGGTCCTCAGACCAGGCGGGGTCCTTCACACATGTGCTCCACAATGCACTCCTGTCCCAGCTCACACTTACACACACACACGCACACAAATACACACGTATACTCATTCACACATTCACTTCAATACACTCACAGATACACACACACATTCACGTTCTCACAATACTCTCACACATACATTCACACTCATACATAAATTCACACACACACATTCATACATATATACACTCATTCACAGACCCACACTTACACACATACTCCCACAGGTACACACACATTCTCACACATACACTCATTCAAGACTCATTGTCACATGTACATATTTATACACACACATATTTCCACACACATACATAGACACACATTCATCCTTACACATTCACGTACATTCACACACACACTCACAAGCATTCTCACACACATACACTCATAGACACACATTCATCCTTACACATTCACATACATTCACACACACACACTCACAAGCATTCTCACACATTCCCTCATAGTCACACATTCACCCTCGCACTCATTCATGCACACTCACACACGCATTTACACACACACATAAGGTCACATAGACTGTGCCTCCCTCCCTCCCTGCCCACCCTGACCCTGGCTCCCTGCTGTTCCCCTGCCCCAGGCAGAGCTGGTGCATGAAGACATCGAGAGCGCCCTGGCAGACAGCAAGCTGGGGAAAAAGATGCGGCCGCAGACGCTCAAGTGAGGAGGAGTCTGGGGGCAGAAAAGGGACAGTCCCAGCCATGCCCAGAACAGGGGCCTAAGGATGGGGAGGGGGCATGGGGCAGGTTCAGAGGGTTTCTAGCCTGCTCCAGGCATCATAGCCCTCATGGAAGAGCAGGGTCTCTGGCCCCTCCACCGTCCCCTCCCTGGTCACTCCCACTGACCTTCCCATTCCTGACCTGCATGGTTGTCCCCCAGGGGCCACCAGGAAAAGATCCGGCAGCGCCAGTCCATCCTTCCGCCACCGCAGGGCCCTGCCCCCATCCCCTTCCACCAAGATGCCGGGGGCCCCCCTCACAGCTCCAAGAATCGTGTGGCCCCTCCGGTGTCCCCCAGTGTGCCAGGTAGAGCTGAGATGGGCGGCGGGCGTTCTCCAGGGGCCCTGGTTCAGAGGCATCTGACCAAGAAGCACAGTGCCCCCTCCCTGAATTAATCTGTCTCCATGCCCCATCCCCCAGCCTGGTTTGGCCCTTCGCCTCAGTGCCAGACACAGAAACACCTGCCACTCCCATTCTCGAGAGGCTGCCACAGGTCCCAGCCCACAAGGAGTCCTGGCATTCCTGGGCCCCTCCCCCCATGAGGGCCCATGCCATTCCCCCACGATGCCTACTCAGGGATGGCATCAAGTAGGGTGGGTGGGGCAGCGTCCCAGGGCAGGTCCCAGGGGCTCTTCTCCCTCCCCCAGATTATGGACGAAGAGACTCTGGCTCTCTGGATGAGGAGCCCAGGGCTGTCCTGGCCCAGAAGATCGAGAAGGAGACGGTGAGTGTCAGACCCTGTGGCTTAGGCCCGGGGAGGGGGCCGAGGACATTCACACCCTTTCCCCTGGAGCAGGGGGCGGGGGTCCCCAGGGAGCTGTGCCAGGCTGACAGGCCGCTGCAGCCTCGTGTGGTTTTCCAGCAAATCCTCAACTGTGCCCTGGATGACATCGAGCTGTTTGTGGCCCGCCTGCAGAAGGCTGCAGAAGCCTTTCGGCAGCTCAACCAGAGGAAAAAGGGCAAGAAGAATAGAAAGAAAGGGCCGGCAGGTGTGTGTGGGGGGGGGGCCCGGGGGGCCGGGGGGGGGGGGCCCGCCTGGGGGCAGGGGGGGGGGGGAGGGGGCCCACCGGGGGGCCGGGGGGGGGGGGGGGGGCCCCGCGGGGGGGGGGGGGGCTCACCTGAGGCAGGCGGGCCAGGCCCTGGGGCCCAGGCAGGGTCCCACCCAATGCCTCTTCACACCTCCCCTCTCTCCATCCTCTCCCCAGAGGGGGTCCTGACCCTCAGGGCCAGGCCCCCCTCCGAGGCAGACTTTATCGACTGCTTCCAGAAAATGAAACTGGCCCTCAACCTCCTGGTAAGCACTACCTGGCTCCACTCAGTGGGACCTCAGGCTCCTGTGCCCCCCTGCCCTCTGCCTGTATCTGCTGGGTGAGACTCTAGCACCCAGGCTACAGGAAGGAGATCCTCACCCCACCCCCTCCCCCATCCCCCACACAGCTGCCCGTGCCAGTTCCAGCCTAGGGGGGGTGGCGCAGGGCGGGCCTCCAGCACCCTGGCCCAGCTCCTCCTCTGCCTGGGTCTCCTGCATGGTACCTGGTGTCTTGGCCACAGAGAGGAGACGGCTCCCCTACCACCCCTCTCTGTATCTCACGGATGGGCCCAATCACCCTGACCATGCTCTGTCCTCATTTCCTCTACCCAGAGAGAAGTAGCCTATGCCCACCTCCCCTGCCTAGACTCTTAGACGGGATTCCAGGATCCTGACTACACGAAGCAAACCCCGTCCCTGCCTAGTCTCCCTGGGTGTCCCTTGTCCTGTTCACAGGGAGGGAGGGAGGGAGAGATGCCCCTCCTCCATTTTCTCCTGTGCCTGGCTCAGTGTCCTGGCCACAGTGGGGGACGATGCAATATCTCAAGCCACCTCCCCTGCCTCGGTCTCCAGAGTGGGACCCCGATGTCCTGACCACGAGGGGAGATGCCATGCCCCACCCCATGTCTTCCCCTACTCTGTTGTTGAGATTCTGAGCCCTGGGGGGGCAGGGAGAGTGTGTGGCTGGAATTGGGCTACCATCAGCAACCCTCCTTTGACCAGGCCAAGCTGAGAAAGCACATTCAGAACCCGAGTGCCGCAGAACTGGTTCACTTTCTCCTCGGGCCCCTGGAGCTGGTAACTAACCACCCCCCTGGCTTGGCAGGGTGGGGGAGAAGTAGACCACCCACCAGGAAAGGCTCTGCTCGGGGTGTCCGTGACAGTAGGAGTGGGGGGGGGAGGTGTTCCTCTCCCCACATGTCACAGAGTTTATCCTGTGGCCAAAGGCCCTACGGCAGTGCACTCTCAGTAGATGTATGGGTCCCTCTGTTCTGGGGCCAGAGGCGCCAGAAATGGCCCAGGGGTGCTCCTGATGCAGCCGGGCCTGGAGCACACTCACAGCTGAAGGGAGGAGGGTCAGCCTTGGGTGGGGTGGGGCTTTAAGCCTGGCTGGGGAAGGAGAGGGCAGGAGGATGGGGACCTCGCTGCACTCCCCTCCCCTGAGTGCCTGGGTCCTGCTGGTCCTAGATCATGAACAGCTGTGGTGGCCCTGACATTGCCCGCTCTGTGTCCAGCCCACTGCTGTCACGAGACACTGTGGATTTCCTGAAGGGCCACCTGATTCCCAAGGAGATGGCACTCTGGGAGTCGCTGGGAGAGCTGTGGACCCGCTCTCGGTAAGGCGCCTGGCCAGAGGACCACCCCAGTCCCAGAGAAAGCAAGACCAGGCCCGCCTTCTCCTCCATCCTCCCTAGGGACGGCAATGGAAAACAAGCAAAGGGGCAGTGTGAGGTGGATGAGGCCAGTGTGGACCCCAGTGGGGCGGGCAGGGGGACCCCGGAGGACAGAGTGAGCAGGGACCCAAGAGCCTGGACTGGGGAGAGGGGGCGCCAGAGAGAGCTGGGGCTGCCCTGCCCACTTGCCCACTGTGTCCCCCCAGAGCCGAGTGGCCTCGAGATGTGCACGTACCCCCCTACATCCCAAAGTTCCACAACGGCTGGGAGCCCCCACTGGATGTGCTGCAGGGGGCCCCCTGGGAAGTGGAAGGTGGGCCGCTGCCGGACACTGAGGTCAGTCTGACCGCGACACCCGAGGCGGCTCTGCTGGACTGGATCCACCTGCAGGGATGGGGCTGGGGGAGGCGCCTGAGCCGGGCGAAGCAGCCCCAAAGGTGCGCTACCTCTGTCTGGTAACCTTCCTCTCCCTCCTCTCTCCCCGTAGCTGAGCCCGGCCAACGGGTTCTCCTACCGCCATTCCCTGAAGCAGAGCCCAGGCCCCGAGCCTGCATCCCCCGGAGACGGCTTCCCACCAGGGGGCTCCCCCAACACTGACAGGTACCCCCACCCACCCCAGCCCTGCCAAAGCGCCAACGAGGCAACGTTCCTAGGGTTGGTAACATGTTGAAATGGAACTTGCAATAAGGGGGCAGCGCCACCAGGGGGCAGTAGCCTGTTTCCCTGGCTCACTCACTCTATAGCTACCCAGATGGATTGTTATTCCCAGGGTCAGCCCAAGGCCCCATTGTCCTTTCAGAACTTAAGGAAACACCACTCTTAAGCGGTGGAATAATGTCCTCCCTGCTCCTTAGCTCTTGGGTCTACCTGGCTTCTTGGACCCAGTTTTGGAGAACTGCGGAGGCAAGGGGAGCCCTTCTCCCGAGCCGGGCCAGGGCACGCTGCCTCCGCCGTCACGGTCCTCGGATCCCCGTCAGCGCCCGTTACGGCTTTCTTGCCCTCAGCCCTCAGCCTGCTCTTCTCCATGGCCTTCTTTCTCCATGTGGTCAAGGACATCCACGAGGCTAATGCTCACTCTTTCTAGTCCTTTACTCTGATGCCGCCGTGGAGTGGGCACTTTCAGGAGGCTGAACTGAAGGTGTTGTCCCAGGGAAGTGGTGACTTACCTAGCTAGGCAGGATCGCAGCCAGGATCTGAACCCAGGCCTCTAGACCCAGCCCTCCTGCTACAATACACTGATGCCTGTTGTGGCAGAGAGAAATTGCTGCCATGGAGGGGGGGAGAGGCATTGAGCCACTCCAGTGTGAGACTCTGCTGACTGTGGGAGTCAGGGGAGGGGGTCTGCACAAGGCACCTTTGACTCCGTGGAGTTGTCCCCTAGTCAAACAGGCTGCCCCATGTGGAGGGCGGGGGGAGCAACTGAAAAGACTCTGGGCTCCCTCCTCAATCCAAGCTTAAGGTTTGCGATCAGAAGGGGCTGACTTTCTAATTTCTGGTGGGAGCATATCCTATCCGCCCCCTTGAAAAAAGGAGCAGTTGGGAGGCTAGCTGGGTGGGGGTCCAACTTCCAGACAAGGCTTTTCTGAAGGCCGTTGCTACTAGCAACCTCTGGCCTTCACACACTGCGTCTGGTGCTGGCAACCTTGGTGGTGAAAGCGTTTCCCTGAACTGACTTGTCTTTGATTGGTGCATCAGTTTAATGACATCCAAATAAGCAGACTGACAAACCAAAGCAATAGGAACCCTGAGTTATAAGCAGAAGTGGAGAGCCATGGGGCGGCTCGGTGGCGCAGTGGATAGAGCGCCGGCCCTGGAGTCAGGAGGACCTGAGTTCAAATCCGGCCTCAGACACACAACACTCACTAGCTGTGTGACCCTGGGCAAGTCACTCAACCCCATTGCCTAGCCAAAAAACAAACAAACAGAAAACAGCCCTTTACTCTAATGACACTGTGGAGTGGGCACCGTGATGCCAAAGGGGGAGGCAGCGGTGCTTAGGATTGCCTCCTGCTTCTTGAAGGGGCAGGGCTTGGGCGAGCTTGCTCAGGGAGCTGCGCCCCGCTGTCTTCCTCCAGCAGGGGCCATATTGTGGTGCTGGCTTGGCTGTCTTCACTTTGCATCCGCCTTGAACCTTCCCTGTTTCTCTGCTAGCTTCATCTCCACTGTTCTTGTGGGGCAGAGTGCCCACCTTCTGTCCCACTCCTCCCCAGGCACTCGGCACAGGGCCTGACTCGCCTTTTTTGCTCTTACAAATAGGCCTGCCGGGAGCATTTTTGTACAGGTGGGTCTCCTCCTCATGTTGATAGACTTCTTAGGGTATATGCTCAGTAGTGGCATTGAAAATGGTTTCTTAAACCTATATTCCTTCCAGAATAAAACTACATTTAAGAAACCCCCCAAATTATAGACCTTCTGATGACCAGAGATTTCTGTTCAGCTCGACTCATTCCAGTTGGATTCAAAGCACTTATTAGGGGCCCTTTGGTTCCGAGGGGAGCTGGCCGAATGAAGGTAACCTGTGGTACGTGAGCAGGGCTCAGAGTTCACGCGAATCAGGCTCGGGCTCTGGGGTGTCTCTCAGTAGGCGCCATGAGGCCACCTGGGTTTCCCCTTTGGATTCCATCTAAAGTACCTGCAGCCCTTGTGGAAGGGCTCTGGCTGATGAAACATTGTCTATAAGGCAGATTTTATTTAACCAGACAGCAAACATAAAAGAGTCATACTCAAGTATATAAATATTCAGGAAATTTATGGAGCCTTAAGGACTAGGTAGAAAGTCCTTATAAAATCACCCTGGAACCAAGAGCTTCCTCCATGTGAGAAAGAATTCAGTGTTGCTAGGGAATCCACCTGTCTGGTAGGTCCACCTTCCCTGGGAACCCTACACAGTCCACATGACTCACAGTCCCACTGAAGGGACAGGTCCAGATCATAGTGCCCTGCTGTGCCAATCCATCCCCTTTGCGGCTTCATGAGAGGACATCCTGGCCGTCTCCCGTGTCTCTGCTTCTCCTGATAGCTCTTAGTGACTGCAGGAGGATGGGAGCCCCCAGCCCAGGGGAGGGGGACACTTTGAGGGCTGAGATATTCTGCCCCGGGCAGTGACCCCCAGCTTCCAGTGACTGGAAGAATTTCATAGGGCCAGTTAGTAATTTCTCACATGCGGCACCTGGAGATTCCAGCGGGTCAGAAAGGTGGGATGCTTGTGGCTTCCTGGAGCTGCTTTCTGGGTTCTTTTCTTCCACGGTGAGGGGAGTTGTCTCCCAGTATGTCTGGGGCTTTGTGGGTCTCTGTTCCCTCTTGTTCCGAGCTACGCCCAAGGTGCTGATGGGGAAAGGTAAGCGGCCTAGACCCTCCCAGTTCCCCAGCTTCTTCAGTCACTGCCCCCTCCCTCCCTGCCTGCTGCCTTCCGTCTGCTCAGGATCCCCTCCCAGGAGGCCCAGCAGGGCTGACCCACTTTGCGCTCCTACCCTCTCCCTGGCAGCCCCGTTGCTGCATCCACCGCTTCTGTTCTGCCGTCCTGCCCCATAGGCCAGGAGGGAGGAGGACACCCCCTGACCAGCCCCTTGCCATTCTCTGCACAGGAGACTTGAGCCATCGGCCATGGCCAAATTTGCCAAAATCCGTTATGACTTCACGGCGCGTAATGCCAACGAACTATCTGTGCTGAAGGACGAAGTTCTGGAGGTAAGAGGGCCCACCAAGCCCGTTCTGCTCTCCTTCCCTGGGCCCTGGGCTGGGGCTGGGGCTGGGGTGAGGACAGGCTGCCATTGCCTAGGGCCTCAGGGTGAGAGGCCTGGCCAGGAACCTGTACCAGCTCTTGGCAGGAGGGGGAAGACAGAAAGACCTGTCCCTGGCCTGGAGCAGGACTTAAGTGTCCTGGCAACCAAGGAATGAGGGAGCCTGTTCCCCTCCCCTTCCCCCTGCCCTCAAGGGCCTGGCTGGGCCCTGTACACTGTCCTCCTGGGGCAGGCACCCTGAAAACACTGCATTTGCCCCAAGCAAAGCCCTGTCTCTATGCTAAGACAGGGAGCCCTCTGGGGCCTCTCTGACTGACCGAGAGCCACAGGGGCAGAGCTCTGAGATCCCTTGTATGCCCCATTAGCTGGGGGGGGCCGGGGGCGGGGAGAGAGCCTGGTGCCCAGAAGACAAAGGGCCAGGCTCAGCCTGGAGCTCAGCTGCGCCAGACACAGCCAGCAGCTGCCACGGGTTGGGGGTGGGGGAGGAGAAGGAAGGAATGGCGCACCAAGACTTTGGACGAAGCAGAAGCCCATGGATACTGGGCTGACGCTCTCCTCCTTGGGCCAGTCATCCTCCGGGCTCCCCTGTGGCCCAAATCCAGGTCATCTGCTCCAGGGATGGTAACTACAATGGGAAAGGTATGGGGGGAGGGCGAGGAAGAAGCCCCAGTGAGCCCAGCCCGGCTTAGCGGGCAGGGGGCACAGCGGGCATGGCCAAAGTGTGGGGTAGAATTGCCTTGGAGCCTCCTCTGGCCAGACGGTTCATGTTCCCAGCAGACCCTATGAATGTGGGGGTGGGAAGAGGGCAGAGCCCAGGCAACAGAGACTCCTGCCCACTAGCTGAAGCCTCTGCAAGGTCTCTTCCCCTACCGAGGGAGGAGAGAGGCCACACGGAGCAGGGGACAGCGACCCAGCTAGCAGTCAGTTGACCTGGGTTTTAGGTCACTACAAACTTGCTTGTGACCTAAGGCGAGTTCTATTCCCTGTCTGGGCCTAAGCTTGGGCCCAGGTGATCTTTAAGGCCATTTCCTGCTCTGAGAGGCTGGTCGTAGGAAGGGGGACCCTTCAGCCCAGGCTAGCCCTAGTGAGTTGGCTAGTGGGGACATGAGACCCTGGAACAGGTGGCCCAGGGAAGCTAGGCTTTGTGGGTAAGAAAGAGGTCAGTAGACTGTCAGGGCTGAGTGTGATGACCTGAAGATGACCCTGGACTGTCCTCCCAGGTGCTGGAAGACAACAAGCAGTGGTGGAAATTGAGGAACCGCAGCGGCCAGGCTGGCTACGTGCCCTTCAACATCTTGGACGTCATCCAGCTGGAGGATGCGTACCCACTCAGTGAGCAGGTGTGGAGCTAGGAAACCTAGCTGAGCCCCGTTAAGGCATGCTGATGAAGCAGCCATGGGGTCACTCGGAGGCCTGGGAAGGAGCTCCTGTTCTTCCAAAGCTCCTGTCCTACCTGGGGGCAGGGAGCACGGGGGCAGGAGGTGGGGACGAGGGCCCAGCAAACACCGGGAGATGTCCAGTGAGGAGGGGAAGGCCATCTTCTGTAGGAGGTGATGGCCGAGCTGAATCTGACTCTAGGAGACAGAAGGAAAGAAGGAGAGCGTTTCAGGCCAGTCAACAGGTATCAAGGAACACAAGGATGAGAGGCTGAAATCTGAGTCTGGAAGTGTGTGGGGGCCCTTGTGGTTAGTGAGTGTGCAGAGGGTGTGCGGGGAGAGGGACATGAGCCAGGCAGAGGAGAGGAGCTGAAAGCCACCCTGCTGACACCCTGCTGACACCTGGCCCAGACTGGCTGGCACTATCTCCCCAGGTAAGCAGAAGCCTCCTGGGAGGAGTGGGGAGGGGCACCGGAGAAGAGTTCCGGATTCCCAGTGGCCAGCCTCAAGGGGACAAGAAGGACGGCAGTGGCCTTAGCATCGACTGAGATGATTGGTGGAGGAGCAGAATTAGGGGCAGAGCTGAGGAGTGCCCTCTACCAGGCAGCTAGTGATGAAGAACTGAAGCTCGGGGCAGAGGAAGGGGCTGGCTAATTAGATTGGAGAACCACGAGCACAGAGATGCTAAACCCACATGAGCAATGAGCTTACCCAGAGAGCAGAGAAGGGGGTCCAGGACAGCACTGGGAGTCACCCAGAGTGCATCACCAAAACTCAGCAGGAGAGAGAATCAGCGTCCAGCTGATTGAGCGGTGTCCAGTGCTGGAGAGAGGGCGAGACACATGAGGACTGAGAAGGGGCCCCGCACCCCACCCCAATGACGTAGTTAAGAAATCCCAGGGAGCTGGGAGAGAGAAGCTTCTGTGGAGCGGTGAGGCCAGAAGCTGGACTGCAGGCAGCTGGAAGGAGGAGTGCAGACTGTGGGTATAGACGGGCTTTTCTAGATGTCTGATTGTGAAAGGAAAAGAGATTTTGAGAGGACATAGCAAAGCCAAGTAAAGGTTTATTCAGGATAGCACAGGCCCGACACATTTGCAGACAGCAGAGAAGGGAGCAAGTAAGAAGACTGAAGATGAAAGAGACGAAGAGAGAGAGAAATAGGGGTAGAGAGGGAGGGAAGAAGAGAAAGAAAGAGACAGAGAAAGACAGACAAGGGCAGAGGTGGGGGGAAAGAGGAGAGAGGCAGAGAGACAGAGGCAGAGACAGAGGTGGGGGCGCGGGGAGAGGGAGGAGGAGAGAAAGACACGGAGAGAGAATAAGGTCAGGGCAGTCCCTGCCCACAGCCAGCCCTCCTCTCGACATCACACCAATACCTACCCTTCTTGGGGTTTAGAGACACTGCTTCAACCTTAAGAAGAGGACATTCAGATACCTTACTTTCTTTTTTGTTTGTTTTTGGGTTTTTTTGTTTGGTTGGTTTTTGCTAGGCAATTAGTGACTTGCCCAGGGTCACACAGCTAGTAAATGTCAAGTGTCTGAGGCCAGATTTGAACTCGGGTCCTCCTGACTCCATGCCCCCCAAATGTGCCCTCCACTGTTCCAGAGGATCAGATGGAGAGATGTGGGCCGCAGGACCGTCGGCTCAGGTGGCGTCAGGGTACCCGAGGCAGCCTAGAGGATGCTCCTAGGGTGATGGGAAGCCTGTTCTGTTCCACCTCAAAGATGCGATTAAAGGCACACTGGGCACTTTCACCAAAGCTGCAAATCCCCTGCCCTCCAGCAGGCCTCGAAAAGCTACCTTGTGTGTGCCAGGTCTGAGAAGACAAGCCAAGCCTTGCCCTCCAGGGGCTTACATTCTAAGGGGGGGGCAGTGAGGAAGCAGCATGTGTACCGAGGGCAGGGGTCTAAAAGGAAAGGCAGTTTGTTGGCATTTGGATAGGGGCCACTGGGTAAGGCAGAGTGACAGAGGATCACCAGGAGAGGTGGGGCTCGGGGCAGGAGACGGCTGTGCCATTCACTGGGAGCATAGGAATGCCACTCTGATGATCAGTCCCTGGCAAAGCAGGACCACAGAGCGGCCTGCCTGGATGGCCTGGCGAGGCTCATGCAGTCTGAGGGCCGAGTGGCCAGGTCACCCTTGCCCCTTCACTGCTCAGTCGCTGTCTCTCCAGATGCCCAGAATCTGGCAGGGGCAGCTTGGCCCTGCCCCGGGTCCAAAGGACTAAAACCAAAAATCCCAAACCCAATGGGGCTTCTGCCTTCTCTCCCTCTTCCAGGACAATCAGAAATACCGAGGAGACCTGAGTCCCCGGGGCCCAGGCTCCACCAGCCCCTTCCACAAGCTGCCTCCCAGCTATACAGGGGACAGAGATGCCAAAGAGCGTGAGTCACTGAAATCCTGGGCCCACAGCAGGGCTGGAGGAAGGAGGAGGCATGGCTGGGCCTGAGCCATGACCTCTGCTCTCTAGGCTTCTGTTTACTCATCTGAGAAATAAGGAGGACGTTAATGTATGGAATGAGAGGAATTTGTTCACGGGGTGGGGGAGGGGCCGGACAGCATTGATGGCAAAGGAAGGAGGGGAACTGCAGGGTTCCAGACCATCTGAGGACCAGGGCCAGGCTGATCAGGGAGAGGGCACTTGGGGAAACTGAGGCTGAGCTGGGGGGTGGGGGGGAGGCCATATTTCCCGCTAGGAGACAGGGCCCTCTGGGGCACCACATTCCCACCCACCTGGAGGAGGAGAGGCCCTTCCCCTCTCCCAGTGCCAACATGACCCCCAACCCTTAGCGTGGGAGTGAGGTCGGCAGGGGACAGGAAGGCTTGGAGACCCCCAGAGAGAGAACGTGCCCCCAGGGGGTGCCTCGGGAGCTCCAAACACCGGGCAGGACACCGGACAGTCCCCCGAGGGGCAGTGCAGGGCCTGGGGTCGACCTCAAGCCAGCATGAGGCCACAGGGTGTCCCAGCAGGCCAGAGAGGAGCGCAGCCGGGAGCTGGCAGGGGCACAGCCAGTGACCACCTGGCCTCGCGGCTTCTTGCAGAACTCATCCACCACATGGATGAGCTCAACCACGAGCTCGTCAAAAAGATTGCCAACCCCAAAGGGCAGCCTCCACCGAGGAACTTCCGGGTGGAGAGGAGCAAGGCGGTGGTGGCCCCGCTGACCTACGGCTCCAGCGCCCAGGAGGTCCGAATGTGGCTGGAAGCCAAGTCCTTCAGCCCAGGGTGAGTCCTGGAGGCTGGCGGGGAGTGGGGGCGGGGCTGGAGCCTTGAATGCCAGGACCGCGAGGGAGCCCTGGGAGTTGGGCCGTAGTGAGCCCTAGGGGGCCGAGTCAAGCTGAGGGTCGCTGGGCCCACTGCCCCCTTGCCACCCTCACCCTGTGCCCCCTTCCTCCCAGGATCGTGGAGCACCTCGGCATCCTGACAGGCGCCCAGGTCTTCTCCCTTAACAAGGAGGAGCTGAAGAAAGTGTGCGGGGATGAGGGCGCCCGCGTCTACAGCCAGCTGACCGTGCAGAAGGGCCTCTTGGAGGTTGGACCCCCCCCATGGTCTCAGCCTTGATCTTCTGACCTTCCCCTGCAGCCACAGCCCCTCTCTCTGCTCGGGGTCCCCGTCTGTCCTTGTCTCCCCATCTTGTGTGCCTCCCCATCCTCGGGGCTTCCAGGCCCCCCCAGCAAAGCTCCAGATGGTCATGTACGGGGGGAGGGGGGCAGAGGAAGCATTCCCCTCCCTTGGGAACCCTCACATTGAAGATGGGGTAGGATTCAAGAGTCACCCAGACATCCCCAGTCTCTGAGCAGGTTCCTGTCTAAGCCCTCTCTCCCTCCTCCTCCTCCCCCTCCCCCTTCCCTGTCCCCCTTCCTCCTCCCTCTCCCCCCTCCCTGTCCCCTCCCCTCCTCCCCTTTCTCCCTCCTCCTCCTCCCCCTCCCTCTTCCCTCTCCCCCCCTCCTCTTCCCCTCCCCCCTTCCCCTCCTTCACCGTCTCCTCTTCCCTTTTCTCTCCCTTTCCTCCCCCTCCCCCTTCTCCTTTTCCCCTCTTAAGTCTCTGGTCTAACTGAAACCCCACCCTGCTTTTGTTTCTCCTTTAGAAAAACCAGGGTGGGTCCGAGTTGGAGGAGCTTCTGATAAAGTTCCAGAAGAAGACCATGGAAGAGGGCCAGAGCTAGGCCTTTGTCTGGGCTGGGGAGGAAAGGGGGCTCCCTGGCCCAGCACTACCGTCCTGGGGGCTCTCCTCAGTATTGTGTGAAGTGTTATTTTATATCCCTACTCTTTTCTGGGGAGGGCGCCCCCACGTGGACACAGGGCAGCATGGCGGCAGCAGGCCTGGCCCCCCTGCCCCCACTTGGCCCCCCTGCCCTGCTGCACCCAGGCCCGATCTTTCCCTCCCTTTGGGCCCCCAGGGCCAGGACTCCCTCACTCTCGGGCCCTGGACATCTCCAGCTGCTCCTGCGCGGCCCACCCAGAAGGGCTGACCTGGCCTCCAGATAGCCCCCAGAGCCAGCCACAAGACTTTGGTCACAGACCCTTCCGCCCCATCCCTCTCTTGAGTAGGCCTCCTGGCTCTCTGCACGTACACAGCCACTCACATGTGGTGCATCAGAGAGGAGACGTCCTGAGAGAGTCAGACTCATCTCAGAGCTTGGCTGCCCTGCCTACCCCCACCCCCCAGCTCAGGTCCAGTGGGCAGCTGCTTCCACATCGAGGAAGAGGCCGTCCTTGTCACGCTAGTCTGGCCCCTTGGGCCTCAATGGAATGTGTCAGTAACAGCCCCCAACTCTAGCCCAGCCCAGACCCTGAATGTTCAGTGCCCCTCTGCTTGAGAGCCAACCGGGAGGTCTGGACCACCTCCTCAGCTCAGCCAGCCTCTGGCCTGGCTGCCATGCCCTGAAGAGAGGGCGAAAGCATGGCATGGTGGAACCTGGGGCCCACCCCGACCCATCTTGGCCAGCCCAGGTGCCCTCCTCAAGGTGAGGGGCCTGGACGGAGAGACCTGTGAGGTGCCTGGTACCGCCTTCCCTCTCTGCCAGGCTCTTCCTGGACAGTGGGGGAGGGGGATTCACCCCCAGTCACTACCCCCCCGCCAGCCTCTTTCTGGACTAAAAGTTCCTGCTGTAGCTGAGGCCCACTCCTGCTGCCCCCAGCCTTGTGGGACTCTGGGAAGGCCAGGGACCCCCTCCATGCTCGCCTGTTGGCCTTGGGGGTGAGGCCAGTGCCCACAAGGGCTTCTTTCTTTTCCTCAGGAGGCACTGGGCCAGCCATGGGGAGGGTCCGGGCTCAGCAGGAGACCTGAGCAGCAAAGACTGGCTGCCGGGGTTTGTGGGGTGGTGCCTCATCTGTCCTGATACATTAGTCCCATTGCAAGTTCCTGACTCCATCCCCCCCCACCTGGAGCCCAGGGACCAGGCAGGACTGTATCCAGAAGCTCTGGCTCAGACAGCCTGGAAGAGGACCCATTATAGTCCACACCCTAACCCTAACCCTCTGTCTCCCAGGCAGAGATCACAGGGCACAGGGCCCCCATGGAAGAGTCATTAAAAATGCTGATGTATCTACTAGCCACTGGCTCTCTGTATGCCCTGGGGGGAGCCCCCAAGGTGCCCCTGGATAGGTCACTGGGTGGCCCCAGCCCCCTTCTGACCACCAGAGCCCCAGCCTCACAGCCAATAGCCTGAAGTCTGCTCCAGTACCAACTAAGTGGGTGCCCTTGGGGAGGTGCTCTGACTCCTCTCTCCGAGCCTCAGTTTCCCCCCTTGCAAAGTAAGGGTGTTCACCTAGGTGACCTCAGAGGTGCCTCCCAGTTCTGTGTTGTGTTTGAGCTCAGTGCCAGGCTGGGCCAGGATGGAGTGGCAGGAAGCCCATACCAGGGCCAGAGAAGGGCGGTGAGCCCTGCAGGGCCAGGAGGCAGCCCCAGCGCTGTGCCAGGGTGAGAAGTTTGGGAAGGCTTCTACCAGCGGGCTGAGGTGTAGGGGCCCAGCCTGGAGAACTGAGCAGCATCCTTGCCCGTCATTCCACATCTAACCCTTCCTGGCTGGCACCTTCTCTGTGCTTCTGTTGAAGCTGTGCAAGGCCTCACCACAACAAAAGAACAGAAAGCCGTGGCTGGGGGGGGGGGGGCCGTGGGGGGGGGGGGGGGGGGGCCGACAGGGGGGGGGGGGGGGGGGGAGGATGGGGGGGGGGGGGGGGGGGGGGAGAAGATTGCCCCACCCTTTCCAGAAGCAATGATGATGTTAATTACGATTCCGAAAGGGGAAAGGGGAAGGGGTTGGTGCTCAGAAACGAGGGACCACAAGGAGATGGATAGAGTGGGCAGTACCAAGCAACCTCGGGGCAGGAGGCTTGCTCTTCCAGAAAAAGCTGCCTGCGGCAGAGGGGCTCCACTGGAGGCCCCTTCCAGATCAGAGAGGTGGGGGTTCTGCTCCTGGAAGTGTCTGGGGGAGGCAGTGGGGTAGTTAAGGTCCAACAGGAGAGGAGGAGCCCACTCCCATCCGGATGTGGGCAGTGGACGTGCCCCTGGCCTTGCATTTCCTAGCCCTCAGCATGGGGGCAGGAGCCAGATGTGGGAGGGAAGGGGGTCGGTCATACAGGGAGAAGGGCAGCCAGGTGCTCCCCCAGAGAAGGGGAGACTTGGGGGAAGGAGGGAGAGGAAGCCACTGACAAATTTCCTGCCTCCTATACTTGGTCTCGCTGTACTAGTCTGTGGGGGCACAACAGAGAAATTGGTACTACCCTCTTTGTCTCACTCCCATGGCCCCCGGGAGAATCACACCTTAGGGCGCTGGGGATTTGAGGGAGATGGGGGGGGATGCATTGTGAGAGGTAGAGGCCTGGCTGCCCCCAATTGCGCTCTTCAATCCTAAAGGGGCTGAGCCCAGGGATGCCAGGATGAAGGAGACCCTATTCTGTGGCGTATCTGGAAGGGACCCGGCCTCCTCCTCCTCCCTGGGTCACTTCCTCTGGGCAGAGTCAGAGCCTTCCGTTGGGAGGCCTTGGGGAGAGCCCCAGGGAGGGAGCAGGGGGGCGGGCTGTGGGTTAGGGCCCTGGAGCAGCTCTCCAGGCCAAGAGCAGGGCCTTGGTGCCCACCCTCAGAGGGCCTCCCACTCTCAGGATTCCAGGGCTTGCCCTGAGGGGTTGGGGGGTTTGTTTGTCCAGGTTCTTAATGTTGTTTTGTGTCCTGGACCCTTTGGAGAGTCTGACCAATCAAAAGATCAGTAAACATTTATAAAGAGCCTACTATGTGCCAGGCACTAATGACACAAAAAGAGGCATTAGACCATCCCTGCCCTCCAGTCGCTTACCTTCTAAGGGGGAGACAGACACCAAGCAAACGCATACATACAGGGCAAGCCCTGGGATTCAGGGGTTGGGGAAGGCTTCCTGGAGGGGAGAGTTTAGTTGGGACTTAGAGGAAGCCGGGGAGGTCAGTGCTGAGAGCAGAGGAGGAGGGTGGCCAGAGAGAAGGCCCAGAGGTCAGAGATGGAGGGGCTTCTTCATGGAACAGTCAGGAAGGGGGTGGGGGCCGCTGGATGGAAGAGGACCTGGTGAGTGTGAGGTGTGAGAAGACTGGGGGGAGCGGGCAGGGCAGAAAGGGCCTAGAAGAGCAAGCAGAGCCCTTATATTTGTGCGTGGAGGCGATCAGGTTAGTTTACAGTTAGGGGATGACAATCAGACCTGGGCTTTAGGCAAATCGCATTAGTGGCTGAATGGAGGATGGGCTGGAGTGGGGAGAGACTGAAGCAGGCAGCCCCCCCCCCTGCAGCAGGGGTGAGTGATGAGAGCAGCACGGGCTTTGTCTCAGCCACTGGTGGGCTTGGTCACCCCAAAGGTTACTCCTTCCTCCTCATCTAGGATGTCTCGGCCATTCTTACTGCAAAATGCAGCCTGCATCCTGACCTCTCAACCTTCCAAACTGCCCAGGTGGGAAGACTCCATCCCCTCCCCCTACAGTACAAAAGATCAAATCAAGAGACCCCACCCCACCCAGTATGGTTCTCACCAAGTCAAGAGCAAGTGAGGCAAAGAGGTGCCCTCTGCCAATCAAAGCATGCCTCTTCACCATAGGTCATCTCGACAGGGTACGGGCCCAAGCCGAGACCTTTGCCCCTTACCCCAAAAGAATTTGGGTCCCATTTGTTTGAGAGGGGAATGACAGGGTGCAGGCTCTGGAAACCCTCCCCCCTGGAACTCTCCTTGAATTTCCCCACTTGATCAAGTTTCTGGCCTTTGCCTGAGACTCATTATTGCCTAGGTCCAATCTCCCAATTCTCTGTTACCCTTCACCTAGCCCAGTTCTTCACAATCTGTTCACCCCTGGCTACTTCCCACCCTTAATCCTATCTAGACGCCTGTTCTCCTGGTCCAGGTTCCTGGGCTTTGACCTCCCAGTCACACCAAGCTGCAGGCCACTCCCATCCAGATCCTCCCTAGAGCCCTTGTACCAATCACCCCAGGCTACTTGGCCACTCCTAGATCCCTCCCACAGTCTTTCTGTTTGTAAAATCCATCTTGCTTCCATTAGTTGCGCAGGTTCAATCTGGCCCACTTGCATTAGAGATGCAAATGCTCAGATTCCTTAAGAGTCTGGCCAATATGGCAGATTTTTAGCTCTATCAGTGTTGTAATAAACTTAGGGTTAGGGTTAAGGTTAGAGACAAGTCTTTGGCTGAAAGGAAGGCCTGGGTCGAATTCATTTGGGCAGGACCCACATGTTGCTATTTTGGGGTCCCAGCATCCCCAAACCAACAATCCTGCCAGAACCATTTCCAGAATAAGTGCCCTCCCATCCTGCCCAGGCTTTCCAAGGCCTATCTGATGGCCCATGAGGCCTGCCCCCCAGACCCCAGATACATCGAGGTGTAATTGTGGATCCTTGAGCTCCAAACTCTGAGGCCCCGGCGTGACATGAGCCCCCACCAGAGTACTTCTCATCAGGGTCGTTGGCTGAGACGCTATTTGACACTCAGACACATCGCTGAAGTAGCTTTTAGAGAGGAGTTTTACTAAGGTGTGCAAGAAGAGTGGTTGTTATCGGAAGTCTACACTCTCCCTCCCACTTGTACACCCAGACTCCAGAGGAACATGGGCTCGAGAGCACAGGGGCAAGAACCCCCAGATCCTGGCTGTCGGAAGTCCCGTTCTCCCTTTCCTGGGGGTGCTCGAGGAGTTCTCCTAGTTTGTGTCTGAGCCCTTTATAGAGCAAAGAATCTCCACGCAGTCTTGGGAAATGCTTGGGGCCTAGAAAGGGGATGGATAGTTTCCAGATGGCAATCCGTGCCCTTGGTGGGCAAGCTCCACAAGGCATCCATTCAGATGTATGCTGCAATCTGGACAATGGGCATTTTTCATCCACTTGGTCTTTCCTATGTGGATGGGCAGGCCAGTCTTGGTTGCCTGGTGACAGATCAGATCATGTGATGTCTCCCCTATTAGACTGTTAGTTCCTTGTGAGCAGGGCCTGCCTTACTTTTCTGTTTGCATCCTGAGCACTGTGCATTGCACACAGCAAGCACTTAATTGATGTTTTTTTTTTTCATTCATTCATTCCTGTGAAGGATGAGAGGGAGAGAAAAATCGCCTTTCCTGCCCTCCCCCCCAAGGGGTTGCAGTTCCTCCCTTAACTGCCTCTAATTAAACTGAGAAGTTTCGGGGTCACAGGTCAGTCAGAGGGCCTCCAATGATGCTGTCCCCTTCCCAGTCACTCCAGGGTCTTACATGCCCCTCCAAGGGAGAGCATGGCACAGCCCCCTTTTGGCAGCCCCTCTCTTGTGACGGGTTCCTGGCCTCCAAGGACCAATTCCTTTATAAGGCTTCCCCGCTCCAAGAGAGAGCCTTTCCCCTGAGTCTTCTCTCCTCCAGAACAGATATCCCTGGCTCCTTTGAGTAGTCCTGAGCCCTGAGCACCTTCCTGCACGCCGCAGTCCTCCATCCTCACTCCCCTGAGCTGCCACATCTCTCCAAGGTCTCTCTGCCTCCGGGGCCATCTCCAGTCGCCTGATGTGTGTCTGGCCGCTGGACCCACATGGCTCCGGAGGAGAGAGTGAGGCTGCCTCACTTAAAGCCAGTTCATCTGCATGTCATGGCATCAGCTTCCTGATGTCATGGTCGTCTTCAAGAACAAAGGACAAACAAGGACCCTTCTGACTGTTCGCTGCAGCCTGCTTGTCAAGCCGGCTCACAGACTGGCTTCTGGCCAGCTCTATGTATGACTCAGGACTTTTCAGTGTCGCCACCGCATGGCTCAGCAGCTAGGGGGCGCAGGGGATAGGGCACTGGACCTGGAGTCCCTCGGAAACCCTGGGGGAGGCCCTTGTCCTCTGGCTGCCCCAGTCTCCTCATCTGTAAAGTGGGGGTAATAATAGCACCCACCCCTCAGGGTTGTTGTGAGGATGAAATGAGATAACATGTACGTGGCTTTGCAACCTTAAACCTATTATTATTATTAATTGTTACTATTATATGTCTGAGGCAGGATGTGACCCACTCCTCCATGCTGCCATTCAGCATAGAATTATGAAGGGCCTCCTGCATGCACAGCTCTGGCCCCTGGCCACTGGGGCAC